TATTGGGTAAAATTAACTTTTTTTCGTTTGTATTTTCAGAGTCGCTAATAAAATCTATGTTCAAGGAAACACATCAGATTTCATGCAACGTCAGAGGTCACTAACTTCAGGGTTATCAGATTCTATTGCGGGAAGGTACGTTATGCCAGAGTTAAATGGCAAAGAGGCTCACATAACAGCTGTCTTAGAAGAGATCCAAAAGGAGCACAATGTCTCTTTGAAAAAGGATGAAATTCTTTTAATGGATGATGACATGACTAATGTCCGCATTGCTTGCAACAATGGGCACTATGCCATGCTTGTCCAGCCATATGTTGACTATCCCACGTTTTCATCCTTTGAAACTATGCTTGTACTTTGAATGCATCCAGCAAATCTTCTTTATTTCCAGTGCATGGAAAGGATATTCTTGAGTCAGACAAATAAAAGACAATGGATAGTTGTTGAACTTGGTTCTGAAAATCTCCTAGTGTGAAATATTTGCGTAATTTAACACAAGCTTATTTTAACTCTTATCCTATAATTGTCCAAGCTGTATGTAATATACAGGGTTAACGAAAAAATCCCAGTACACAAAAGTATATGATGCATTGCATTGTTTATTACTGTAAGAAAACTGGTATCTGACAATTATTTTTATTTTTAATTTTTTTTTTCCAATCTGTTTAGTTGACCCTGTGTTGGAAACATGAGGCAATTTAAACTCGATATATTATACCAGTAATCAAAGTGTTTGAAACAATTGGAAAGAATTAGACTTCAATTTTAAAACTGTTTTTTTTTTCAGAAGCAAGGGAATAATTAATTCAGGAATTTCATGCTTTCTGAGAATTTAATTGGCTTTTTAAAACATCAGTCCTCAAATTAAAAATTTACCCCATTCTTCTCCTGCTTTAGTATTTGATCCATCTTTTAATCACTGAAAATCAGGCAGCCAATAGCGTTGTTCAAGTAAACACCAATGCTTTAAAATGGCATGAAATAAAGATATATCTTAATTCTGTGTCTAATTTCTGCCGATTTCTTGATGATATTAAAAAGCAACAACAAAAAAAAAAGACTTAAATTTGTTTTTCTGTTTTGAATATTAAGGTGCTAATTTCAACAACTGTCAAGTTTTTATTTATTTTGTAATTGTTTTTTAGCAGCCTCCATAGAGAAAAACTGCTTCTGTGTTTGTGCTTTTTGTCATAGTTAAATCTCAAGCACCAAAGGTTTATTGAAAATCAGATTTTACCACCCTTTTCCTTGTGCTTATAATCTTTTTAATGGCTATGTTTGGTCTTCCAAGAGCATGTTTGTGTATTATTCACATATGTGTAAATCGTTTAAAAAAACAAGGTGAAAAATATAGTCTCTGCTTTAAAAAGAAATGTCCTCTATAAAAATCAATACTCCAGTCTTCAACATGCACTTCATCGATACAGCAGCTACTTACTTGCCTTCTGATTTTGAAAATTAGTAACACATTTTTATACATAAAAGTAAAACCATATTAAAATCAAGAAAAAGCAACTAATGATCTTTTTTCATTAATGCTTTAAGTTAAGCAAACACATGGCGAAAGTTTATTGTGGCCTTTTGCGTTCTTTATATATCCATTTACTTTTTTTTTTCTTAAAAAAAAATGAAAAAGGGACTTTGTATTATTATTGTATTGCATAGCTGCATGCAATCTATATATTATTTTAGGTGCTCTTTACTATTCATTTAGTTCATTTGAACAGTATCCATCCACACTGTTTGGTTTGGTTTCTTAAGTTAGATACAAATTCTTCTGATATAATTATTATTCTACTTCATTTATTTTTTTATTATCTACTCAGTAATACACATTTTATAGGTATGTTGATATAAGATGCACTTGCCAGGACGTTGCTTCAAAAAAGAAGATATATAAAAAAGTGTGACAAAGAACCTCATTATTTTTCTCCTACAAAGTCTGTTAATGATAATGATTGCCTTCTAGTGACAATTTATGGTCACTTGTGAATTTGACTAGATGTAAGTTTGTATGTGTTGCACCAGGATGTTTTGGCATTATTTAAATTCAAATGGAGATTAGTTGGGTTTTTTTTGTTGTTGTTTTTTTTGTTTACATTTAATAGAGACTGGAGTCAATATTTTTTTTTAAATTTATATAAATAATTTAATGAATCTCTTTTCTCAAACCAAAAAAAAATAAAAAGGTTTTAACTTCTAACTTGATGTTTGATCAACCTTTTATTTCACTTTTATTTCTTTGTAGATGTGTTTCTATGAAATCTGTATACAAAAAAAAAAATATTTTTCTTTGCTTTAAAACCAAGGATTTTAGGTAGAGACTCTTGTTTTTGTTTACAATTTTAGGATATTCATCCATCTTATACGAATGCCTTTTTAGTAGCACTTAAGAGGTTGATTTTCATGCTTGCCACATGGCATTCTAAAAAAATAATTTGTAGACAACTGTGTAACTTAACTGAAACTGACATTTTAAATTAGAAAAAATAAACTTTATCCTCTTCTTTTTCCTCTTGGTCAGATCTAGTCAGTATTTAAAGAGTTTATTTAAATATTCAAGGAGACTTTTTTACTAGTTTACTAAAGCAAATAGATTTAAGTGAAATTACACATAAATATATATATATATATATATATATAAAACAAATGTATAATTTCACATGGCCTATACAAGGGAACACTAGTTATCAAAGCTAATTTTTGGCTTTAATAATAATAATTATTTTAAAACAAAAAAGCTAAATGAGGCAAGTTTTCCTTTTTCACACTTTTAATGATATAAGAAATCTAAAAGGATAGTTGTGACGCTTTTAATGTGGATATTTTTTTTTTCAGGATTTAAAACACAGAAGTATAGCTGTGCACATATTGCACATTGATTTATTATTTGACTCAATTTAATATAAAGTATTGATCTACTTTTTCTATTTTTGTCCACCAACTCAAAGACAGTACAGAATTGATATGTACATAGGTTCCACTTCAAATGTAAATACATTTACTTCTCTTACAAAAAAAAAGTGGCTAGCTTAATTATTGTGATTCAGTCACATGGCGATAATTTTTGTTAGCTGTATAAATTTATTTTTGATTTTATGAGTTGTGAGTTGTTTTTTTTTTTTGTTTGTTTTTTTAATCATGTTTTATCAGTAATGCCATTTTGTTACTATTTTTTTTTTTGTGAAGAGCCACATTAACAGTTGGGGTTTCTAGCAGTGTTACAATAATAATGACTTGCAAATGTATTTTTCATTAATTTGTTTTCTTAACTGTGATTGTGAATCTTAACTATTTGTGAATTTTGTTACACTTTCATAAACCCCTGTCCATTTTAAACAAGGGTTGTTATCTTGATTGATTGGTACAAAAATACTTGCTCTTTCAAACCAGTAATGTATTTTTTAACTTAATTTTTATTCTTGCAAGCATTAAAAATGTAACGGGCCTGTATTTGTATTTTATATTTTTGCATCAACACCACCCTTAAGATATTGGGACTAGTATATTATACAGAATTTATTGCTATGAAGCTTGCTTAGTATTAAATAAGCAAGGTATTTTATTTCATAGTGCTATGGTGTTGATGGATTTGGGGGTTCTATAGAAAAGTTATAACTGTTAAAGGATTCAGTCAACAGCATGTCTTGATTGAAGCAGTATTTCTCGGAATCAAAGATGATTATCAAGTGTGGCTTATTGTGGAGAGACCACATTTTTTTCATTCATTGTATCTCACTGAAACAAACATGGCTACTTGAATTTTTGAAGCCATCTTGTGATTCAGTGCATGAAATCATTCCTGATACAAGAAAGGGTTTTAAAATTGTCACAAAAAGATACCTTTATATTGGATTTGCAAGTTTAGTAAATAAAAAGTTGTCACAATAAGAGAAAATAAATTAGTACATGCTGACTTAGCCGGTTGTCTCATCGCTCAGAATGATATTTTTTATCAAAATGTTCTCATTTGGGACAAGTTGGGGGAAAGGGGCTTTTACGGCTGAAATGAAAAGATCAGATTTCTGGGTAAAATAATTTGTACATTCAGGAAATCAGAATGTGACCTTAAGTCAACTTTTGTTTATTCTAGTAAAAAAACTTTTTGATGATGGATGGTGACCAACATAACCTCAGCATTTCTTTAAATAGAAGTAAATGCAAATAAAAAAAAACACAATATTACATTGTACATGTTTTGTTTATGAAGTTTATTATTGAGATATAAACTTTTCTACCTTAAAAAATCTGTCCTTTATTTGCTTGTCTGTATCTGTCAAAAAGTAATATTTTTTTTGTTTTTTTTTTAAATTCAGCTTTTGTGTTTTAATACTATTTCTTTTGCTGTCTTGATTAAAATAAGCTTTTTATCTGTAATAATTAATTTATGATTTTTGGCAAACTCAGGTTTATTTCTCTATGCAGCAAAAAAATAATTTTTTTTTTCCACCATATTATCTTCTTATCTTGTACAGACGTTACTTCAAAAAATGTTCCAATTAAAAATATAGTTTTTGAAAAACTACACAAAATTCAGTTTACATGAAGAAAATTTAATTACGTTTTTGTTTTAAATAGTGTTTTGCTTTTATAACTGAATTTTAGTGCTTCATTGTTACTTAATCATTTTAGGGCAATTAAGATGTATGCATTTTAATTTTTTTTTTGTATATGGTGCTTATCATAGGCTATTAGATTAGTTCTATTTTTCTTTAGTTATTTTCATCTTATGCAGCTTTTTTTCTTAACACAATTAACCTACTTAAGTGTATGCTGAACACCCACTCAATAAACAATTTTGTGAATTAATAGATTAAAAAATAAAATAAAGAATTCTTTGGATTTGTTTTAAACATGGTTACATTCAGCCATTTTGTTTTAAACCTCAGTAGCATTAGAATAAATAATCTCTGTATTTAACTTGTCCCTGTAGTTTGCTGTACAGTTATGTGGTTGACTATTTAATATACGGCATCAATCACACACACACACATAAAATATCAACAAACTATTGATAGTGTAAATCCTTATTGACCGTGACATTTAGTTGGTTGTGAATATGCTTTGTTGACGGGAAAGCGCAAAAAGGGTTGTCTTTCAGTGAAAACTTTTCTTTCATTGTTTCTGTACCGGTATCTGAAAAAGGTGCGAGCAACTATGAAGTAACAGCAGCTGGAGAAAGCTCTGTTCATATGCATTTCATCTATTTCTTATTTCAAAATATTTTTTTTAAAGCAAAACAAATCATAGATTTTTTTTTATGACAGTTCAGTAGTACTGTTATAATTTTGGTTTATAAATTGTGTGTACTCATCATGAGCACCCCCCTCCCACTCAATTAATTTTTTTTATCTAGTGTACATATACAGTTTTTTTGTCATGTTGATTATTCAGGAATGGCACTAGGTATACCCCATTGCATTTGTTTTACTTCAGTTAGTTACTGGAGATATGTGTTATAGACATAATCCTAAACCATTGTGTTGCTTTTTTCATTATGTGATTGGAGATGGATTATTTGCACACAATCCTAAACATTGAAAATCAAAATGTTTTTTTTTATTTTCCTTTCTTTTAAAACTGTGGAGATGACAAGCTTTGATTTGTGCCAATTGTATATAATTTGAGAATGTATCTGTTTAGGTGGTCCAATGAAGTGCCTGTGGACCTGGAAATTACAAACTTAATTTTTTTGTGTGTGTTAATATTTCAGTCTCATTAAATTAAATTGGAAGAATAATGTGTACGTTTTTTTGTTTTTATTTTTAACTAGCATTACCCACCAGCTTCACTGTTGATTTTTTCCCAGGACCCCCTGCTATTTTTTCTTACTCTTAACAATATAATGATATGAAGTTAAACGCTCCCCCATACATTTCTTTGACCATCTAATTCTAGCATCTATTACAGAAAACGATTTACAAAAGGTTAATAAGACTAATAGCAATGTATGCAAGTGAGACCCGGTCACTGATAAAGACAACCGAAAATCTTCTGAATACTTGAGAGCAAAAAAATTCTAAATTCTTTTTAAAAACCTATGGTGCTATATAAGATGAAACAGGGTGGATGGCACGCATTAACCATGAGATGTATCAATTGATTGAAGACCCACCGATAGTGACAGAAATTGAAAAAAGAACAAACTACGTTGGGCAGGTCACCTTGGAAGAATGTCAGACAACAGAGGAGCGAAAATTGTATACCGGCAAAAATCAAAGGCAGACCCCGAATGCGATGGATTGATGATGTGGAGGCAGATCTACAACTGCTTGGGTTATGGCGTGGAGAAGAAAGGCTCAGGAGAGATCTGAATGGTGAGATGTGTTAAAGCAGGCCAGAGCCAGCCATGGACTGTAGCGCCACTGGGGTGGATGGACGGATTACATTGAATCGGACCAGCCCGTAAATTCGAGTATCACATCTCCTCCACTCCACCCCCACAACTTTCATCCATTACAAGTCTTTTTTTCAATTTCGGCAGATGACTATTCACTGTACTTTATTAATGGGGCTCAGTCACCGGTAGAAATTTGTAACCTCTCTTGGCTACGCTCATGGAATTAGGTGACTGTAGTTTGCTTTAGATTTTATATCGAAAATGGAAGTTAATCGTCAAAATCAACTGATTTGGGGGGGGGGAGGGTTTAAACTAAAAAATCTCTGGATTTTTTTTTTAACAAATTCAAAATCACCTTAGCTACGCTCATAGAATTTGGTGACTGTAGTTTGCTTTAGAATAATATTGAAGAAAGAGGTTTTCAAACTCAAAATTCTCTGTAGGTTTTTTTTTTTAAACTTTAAAAAAAGCCCTCTGGAGGGAGGGGATTTAAACTCAAAACCCCCTTTGGCTCATAGCTTTTTAAATGCGTAATTTGCTTTTTTTTTTTATATTTAAGAGGTATTTTTTAGCTTCAAACCCCGTCGAAGGGGGGGGGGGGTAAAATTAATTTTATATAATACAGAAGTTTTTTTCAAAAAAGAAGATGATTACGTCCTACGCGTAATGGCTACGCTCATAGCATTTTAAATGCGTAATTTTCTTTTTTATTATATTGAAGAGGTATATTTTTTCTATTCAAACTCCGCTGGAGGAGATTTAAACACAAAATGCCCTTCGGCTACGCTCATATTGCTATTTTTTATATTAAATAGGTGTTTTTTTTAGCTGCAAACTCCGCTGGAAGGGGGTTTTAAACAAAACCCATCTTTGCTACGCTCATAGAGTCAGGTGACTGATGTATGAATAGTCTTATATTGAAGAGGAGGTTTTATCGTAAATTTCGGAGAGGGTTAAAATCAGAATCTTCCTTAGCTATGCTCTTGGAATTTGGGGATTGTCGTTTACATTTTTTTCTTTTGTTTTATAGAAGAGGGGTGTTTAACTGCAACACCCCCCGGTAGGGGTGTTTTAAACTCAAAACCCCCTTAGCTGCGCTGGGGCAAGTGATGGTCTAGTAAAATAGTCACTGAAAAGTTTTAATGTAGGCTATTTTGACAATGTTCATTCGATTTTAGCTTGTTGTTTATGGTTGTACCTAAATCAGGAGCGGACTGGCTATACCGGCATTCGGGCTAATGCCCGGTGGGCCGGTACCAAAATGAGTCGCCAGAGCCATCGAAAGGGCAGCATGAATGTAATAAAGTTTTAAAAGTTTTATATTCTCTTATAAAAGTAACCCTTTAAGAGTCGTGCTTTTTTAAAAATTTGTACAGACTCTACAGGTTAATACTTATTTAATCTAACAAATTTTCTAAAATAATGTAATAGCCTACATCCGTAGACATTAGTAGGCTCCATCATTTTATAGCCTACACACTTAGCGATTAAAAAGCCTATGTTTCTTATAAAGATATAGAGTTCACTGTATGCATGCGTACAGTTATCGATACATTATCAAACTTAACATAATGACTTTGAGGACATGTCAGACTGGTGGCCGGTCATTTCATCCTTGGTTACTTCATGCCGGACACCTCATCCCCAGTCATTTCATCCCCAATTAAATTTTGTTTTCTTTGTCATTGTGTAATTGTGCTGTTAAATCTTTGCCTTTAAGTCCTTATTTCATCTAATAGGCTATAAACATAGTTTGTTTAAAATACCTTTTTATATTTTTGACTTGTTATTATAGTTTTTATAGTGTTTCCCCTTCTCTCTTCAGACTTGTTGAGAAATGAAAGAATATATTTCAATAAGTAGATCTATTGTAATGCGGAGTTTTGTATTTAGTTATATTGTTTCTGTTTCTTGTAGGGATGTCAATATTATCCTGCGCATATAGCGTGATCAAAGCCCAAGGTGTGGTGGAAGGAAAAATCTTTTGAGAGATAGAAGAACAATTTGAATAATTATGATCACGCCGCTCTGCGCTCATGATTTATCATCAAAGTCCAAGGTGCGCTGGGGCAAGTGATGGTCTAGTAAAATAGTCACTGAAAAGTTTTAATGTAGGCTATTTTGACAATGTTCATTCGATTTTAGCTTGTTGTTTATGGTTGTACCTAAATCAGGAGCGGACTGGCTATACCGGCATTCGGGCTAATGCCCGGTGGGCCGGTACCAAAATGAGTCGCCAGAGCCATCGAAAGGGCAGCATGAATGTAATAAAGTTTTAAAAGTTTTATATTCTCTTATAAAAGTAACCCTTTAAGAGTCGTGCTTTTTTAAAAATTTGTACAGACTCTACAGGTTAATACTTATTTAATCTAACAAATTTTCTAAAATAATGTAATAGCCTACATCCGTAGACATTAGTAGGCTCCATCATTTTATAGCCTACACACTTAGCGATTAAAAAGCCTATGTTTCTTATAAAGATATAGAGTTCACTGTATGCATGCGTACAGTTATCGATACATTATCAAACTTAACATAATGACTTTGAGGACATGTCAGACTGGTGGCCGGTCATTTCATCCTTGGTTACTTCATGCCGGACACCTCATCCCCAGTCATTTCATCCCCAATTAAATTTTGTTTTCTTTGTCATTGTGTAATTGTGCTGTTAAATCTTTGCCTTTAAGTCCTTATTTCATCTAATAGGCTATAAACATAGTTTGTTTAAAATACCTTTTTATATTTTTGACTTGTTATTATAGTTTTTATAGTGTTTCCCCTTCTCTCTTCAGACTTGTTGAGAAATGAAAGAATATATTTCAATAAGTAGATCTATTGTAATGCGGAGTTTTGTATTTAGTTATATTGTTTCTGTTTCTTGTAGGGATGTCAATATTATCCTGCGCATATAGCGTGATCAAAGCCCAAGGTGTGGTGGAAGGAAAAATCTTTTGAGAGATAGAAGAACAATTTGAATAATTATGATCACGCCGCTCTGCGCTCATGATTTATCATCAAAGTCCAAGGTGCGCTGGGGCAAGTGATGGTCTAGTAAAATAGTCACTGAAAAGTTTTAATGTAGGCTATTTTGACAATGTTCATTCGATTTTAGCTTGTTGTTTATGGTTGTACCTAAATCAGGAGCGGACTGGCTATACCGGCATTCGGGCTAATGCCCGGTGGGCCGGTACCAAAATGAGTCGCCAGAGCCATCGAAAGGGCAGCATGAATGTAATAAAGTTTTAAAAGTTTTATATTCTCTTATAAAAGTAACCCTTTAAGAGTCGTGCTTTTTTAAAAATTTGTACAGACTCTACAGGTTAATACTTATTTAATCTAACAAATTTTCTAAAATAATGTAATAGCCTACATCCGTAGACATTAGTAGGCTCCATCATTTTATAGCCTACACACTTAGCGATTAAAAAGCCTATGTTTCTTATAAAGATATAGAGTTCACTGTATGCATGCGTACAGTTATCGATACATTATCAAACTTAACATAATGACTTTGAGGACATGTCAGACTGGTGGCCGGTCATTTCATCCTTGGTTACTTCATGCCGGACACCTCATCCCCAGTCATTTCATCCCCAATTAAATTTTGTTTTCTTTGTCATTGTGTAATTGTGCTGTTAAATCTTTGCCTTTAAGTCCTTATTTCATCTAATAGGCTATAAACATAGTTTGTTTAAAATACCTTTTTATATTTTTGACTTGTTATTATAGTTTTTATAGTGTTTCCCCTTCTCTCTTCAGACTTGTTGAGAAATGAAAGAATATATTTCAATAAGTAGATCTATTGTAATGCGGAGTTTTGTATTTAGTTATATTGTTTCTGTTTCTTGTAGGGATGTCAATATTATCCTGCGCATATAGCGTGATCAAAGCCCAAGGTGTGGTGGAAGGAAAAATCTTTTGAGAGATAGAAGAACAATTTGAATAATTATGATCACGCCGCTCTGCGCTCATGATTTATCATCAAAGTCCAAGGTGTGGTGGAAGTAGTGGAAATCTTTTGAGAGATGAGAACGATTAGTATACTTATGATCTTGCCGCTAATAACTTATCTCACTTTATTTGTCAATCGTTCTTTCTTAAATATGAGCGTGTCATTTTAAACCCAAATATAACGTTTTATTTATTCTAATAAATGCTGAGTTTAAGAAATACGCAACACTTGCCAAGAAATTATAAATGATGTACAGCAATACGAATCAAAGAATCGTCTTCTGTATCTACTAGTAATAGATTATCTTATTGATTTCAATTAACACGCAAAAACAATTTTTACGTTAGCTCTATATCTATAAATGTTTTTTTTTTAAATTTTTAATGACATTATATTCTAATTTATTAATGTGTAATTCTTTTTGTCATATAAATAAAAATAAATCTAT